ACGTGTTTTAAAGGGAGCGATAGAGAAAAAAGAAGGGCCTATTGTAAGACACTCCTAAAAACTTACGCAAGTTTTACAAAGAAGAAAAGTAAACCGTCCAAGCAAAACAATAAACGTTCTGTACTTACTGTAGCGAACATTCCAGAAATCTCGATAGACAGCGAGACGCCATGAAAAATTATGAAGTTATGGCACATTACTCTAGAACGCAAAGGGAACGCTTTGGTGTTGTCCATGAGGAACCTTGTTTGAAGCGCCAGCAGAACACGCTTCGGCTCATTGCGTAGCCAAGAGTCCCCAGGGATTGCCACGGAATTATTCAAGTTTCGGTTTGGGCGCTTAAGAGAAATTTACCTTCAACGTCCCGAGGTGGGTAGGGTGCATTTTCTACACTAGCAGGGGGGATTTCTTCATTATCTGGTAACAAAAGACCGGTCTTGTGCTAAGCCTGGTTGCGAAGATTTTTGAAAAACACTACAGTACGGCAACGGCAACTACAAATCTATGACGTTACAAAGATGGCAACTTCTCCAAAGAATTTTATTTTTTTTTAAATTTTGGCTTTATTTTTGAGTGGGCGGGGTTTCAGCCAAGGCTGCTCTACTAACCCAACCCACTATACATTTACAAATATCCATGCCCGAACCCGGATTCGAACCAGGGACCCTTAGCACCACAGCCCAGCTTTAACTGAACTGCGCCACACGAGCCGGCGAAGCGGAGAATGGATGTGGCGGTGGCCTTGATAAGTTAGACTGGCGCATCGTGCGCAACATGCTAGAGGTGGTATTCCAGGGGACCGGGGGGAATATTTGTCTGTTGCTTTAAGCCATTCGTAAGAAAATGGATTGTCTTTTATTCAAGAAAGGAAAGGAAGATCGTGCAAGTACCGCCATCAAGTTCGCGTTACAGAAGCAAAGTTGCTTGGGAGGCAGAGTGAGCATTCCAGCAAGATTAGTCATCGGCGATAAAGAACTAAGGCGGATGTGACGTAATTTTTCCGAGAAATATGACGTGTTTCTTCGAGAACATTCTGAAGGCGTCCTAGAGCGTTCTAAGAACATTCTAGAACCATTGTCGTTTACCATAGAAGCAAATTGTAGCGTATTTCAGTCAGTTCCAACATCGATACGTTCTTATGTTATAAATTGTTAGTGATAAATTGTATTTACTGTTATAAATTAGTCCATTTTAAGACTGTTGTAAATTTATTGTTAATTATTGTAAACAAATAAACGATTATAATTAAATTTACGTTACATTACATACATATAACGTTTTCCTAGCCTTATTTTTCCAAGTTGACACACAGTATTTACCCACGAAAGGGTGCACAGCTAAGACCACTATAATCCCATGAACTTTTAGGAAATGATTAATAAAACAGATAACACGCTAATTACTCTTACGCCGTCTAATTGGACACGTGGTTTTTTTCGAAACGTATTCGAAACACATTCATAATCAAATGACCTTCAGATACTTATCATCTTCTAAAATGTTTAAAACGCATTTGCTGACCTTAGTGGAAGGCAATTCCCAGGTTATATAACTAAGGAGTGACCTTGTTTTATGGTGCAAGGTCGCGCCCGAAAATTTCCCAGACGTTTTTGGGTTTTATTTTATACATTTCAATCTATTTAAGAACACAAACGAATGATAAAAAAATAATTGATAGAGAGAGGCAGAGAGATTTTTAAATGAATTAGAAACGGCTCTAGGCTACTAAGGAACTGGAATCTATTTGTACAGCGAAAAGCCCAAATCCCCAATATATAAAGTAACATTAAAGCAACCTGAATTTCCAGTCGGACATCCTGGAACCTTAACTCGGCATGTGGGAGACTTGGATCCTGCATTAATAACCTCATGGAAATGAGACCCACTCTTGCTTTAAAGCGTATGACACAAACGGTGAATGCTATGTTAAATTAGGTATTGAAGCTGTTGCTCGTCGAAGTTTCGAACTCGAGCCTGAAGCTTGTATTCCGATTTCCGGAACTGTAAAGCTGGATCCAGAAAGCTTGAACTGTAGTTTTGTCCTCAAGAAACCCACTCCGCAGTACTTGCCTAGAAAATTCAGATCTTGAGAGTTCTTAAGAAGTGTGAAATTTTCTTGCGGAGAATACTCATTAAGTGTACAGGGTGGCCAAATATGAATGCGAGGTACTGTATGTGGGAACCTGTCCATCGTAGAAGCTTGCGGTAAAAAAGTTATTACTAAAACGGCCACGAGAAAAACCTGGAAAATATTTTTAAGTTTCTGAAATGGCCGCTAGGGGCGTAACTGCAATCTGGAATCTAAAAAAGTGATTTATCTGTGAATTCCGCTATATTGACCTAAAAAAAAATGTCTGGTCTTTGAAGACGACGATAATCTGAACATTTTTTGTTTGAAAATTTTTCCTGTAGCTCTAAAAATGAAGTGGTGGGGCGTATTCAAAAGTCTCCGTAAAGAACACCCTGTATCTTCGAAACGACTGAACCGATTTTATCAAACTCGCGTTAATTGAAAATAGTTATTCTTCGGCTACAAATATTATAATATTTGAAGTTTTGTTAGTTTCACATATCGCCGCTTGATGGCTTTTTTCGGCATTTCGACAAAAATGGTTAATTTTCTCAAAAAAATTAAATGCGTTGGTTTGATTTTTTTTTCATGAAAAAGTAGCTAAATGATGCCTAAACAAGCTCGCGAAAACCGCATCTCGATATCTTGTTCCTAACCTAAAACTCAGGCCAAAGAAAATTTTCGAGAAAATTGTATACCCTCAAAATTTTATTTTTTAAAGCTAATTTTTCCGGAATTATTTTTTATATATAATTTGTGGCCCTAAGTTGGATCGATTTAAAAAAGGAAGCTTTTAATGCCGCCGTAAATGCTCGAAATGATGGCCATCACCATATAAAAATATATATCTCAAGATATCGAGATGTTGTTTTCGCGAGCTTGCGAGCATCATTTAGCTACTTTTTCATGAAAAAAAATCGAACCAATGCATTTAATTTTTTTGAGAAAATTAACCATTTCTGTCGGAATGTCGAAAAAAGCCCTCAAGCGGTGATATGTGAAACTAACAAAACTTCAAATAGTATAATATTTGTAGCTGAAGAATAGCTCTTTTGAACTAACCCGAGTTTGTTTTAATCGGCTCAGCCGTTTCGAAGATACAGGGTGTTCTTTACGGAAACCTTTGAAGTGGGTATCCCCCCCACTTCATTTTTAGAAATACAGGAAAAATTGTCAAACAAAAAAGGTTCAGATTATCGTCAACTTCAAAGACCAGACATTTTTTTGTCAGGTTAATATAGCGGAATTCACAGAAAAATTACTTTTTTAGATTCCAATTTGCAGTTACGCCCCCTAGCGGTCATTGCAGAATCTTAAAAATATTTTCCAGGTTTTGCTCGTGGCTGTTTTAGTAATAAATTTTTTTACCGCAAGCCTCTACGATGGATAGATTCTCAGATACAGTACCTCGCATTCTTAGTTGACCACCCTGTACATTTGTGTACATATAAGAAAATGCATACGATATAGTTAATGCTATATTTTTTATCATGAGATTATATTAAGTCAAAGGACGCATAGTTGTATCGATGTAGTAATGTGGATTGTAAAATAACGATTTCTAAGTTACATAAAAAAAGGTTTTATTACGCCTAACTTACAGAACGTCGGTTTTTTAATGTAATTTATGTATTTTATGAAATTGACGCAACAGGTTTTTTATTTAAAAAACCGTAATTTTTGTAAGTTACATAAATGTAATACCTATTTGATACATTTTGATCAGTACTTCGACAGACCATCAACGGTACTACCAACGTAGACGATTCACCGTTGAATCTAGTTTGGTTTAATGAAGATAATACAGCATCTAATTCGCGATCTGGAACTTCTTTCTCCAAACGACGCGAAATACCTACTACTTGGGTATTTTATTTAATACACCAAAATATATAATTGAAGTGTTTTTGTTTTCAAACACTCACAAAATTCAAAAAGGTTTATGGAATATTAAAAAAAAAAACATAAAAAACATAAATGACAGGTAATTTTACAAAAATATTTGTAAATTACGTAAAAAAACATAAATTACTGGTAATTTTACTGTAAAATTACGGTTTAAAAAAAATGGTAAGTTACATAAATTACATAAAATACCATAAAAATATAAACAATTGGTCATTTTACACGTAATATTACGCACCTTTAAAAAAACGTGTAATTTCACATCACTATATCGATGTGAAGACAGCCGATTGGTGAAGTGCGTGGAAAAGCTCTAAATTCAAAAAAATTAAAACTGCGGTCCACGTTTTTCTGTTAAGGGCCCATTGATAAAAGTACCAAATTGTTAAAAAATGCGTAATAATGATAAAATACCCCATTAACTTGGCGCTAAATTAACCACTGAAGTTATAATAGCAGGAGGGGGGGTCTAAAAATATCATCATCTTATCAGATTGTAAAGTAGTTAATTAATCAATCGGAGTGTTAACCTAATTGCATGGATCATTAAGAACAGAGCTTCATTATAAATCGGAAATTTTCCATTTTTTAATGGATATCCAAATGAGCAGCGCATTGTTTTCAACACTGCAACGTGTTGTATTGTTTTTGCTTGCGATTTGTTTCCCATAGATTAGTTGGGCCAAAACCTCTTTAAAATCGTATACCCCCAAAAGATGACGTGAAGTCCTATCTGCTGCTCATTTATCTTAATTTCTCGCATCTTATTCGGGTTATCAGTGAGTACACTTAATGAAGGGGTTTATTTCATAATTTATATTTGCCCCAACCCCCGTTGCTGCACTCCTCTTCAAAACGTTCAGTCGTAAAGTATCATAGTTTTTCGTAAAGGACACCGGGATCTTCGTTTCCTAGGGATGACCCTTTTCTAAAGATTTTGGTACAAGTGAGGTTCTAAAAAACAGATGGGGGGGCGGAAGAATTTTTCGTAATTAGTCAACTGGGCCGCAGTTTCGCAACTTACAGAACTTGTGGTGACCTCATCGATATATTCCGGTTCGGGAAGCAGAGGCTGCGTCGACTTGGAATGTGGTATTACAAACGACGTCTCCCAACTGTCCGAGTTGTCCGGAATTAGCCTATCGACCGAGGAAGTTGAGCCTATCGTGTTCGGACCTAAACTCGTCGGAATTAAATAGTCAGCGGCCGCCTTTGACACCTGAAGCTTTTCAATTAATATAAGTTTACACAGGGGGACTCCCTCACCTCTATGCAGTGATCGTGACTGCCAGGTCTCATGATCGTCACGTCCTTCTCCTGAGAGGGCGCGCGATTGAATACGGGTAGGGCCGCCTTGAGTACGTCAGGATCCTGTCCGCAGTATCCCAGCCTTTCCAGTATGAGTTTAAAATTCGGCCTCTGGTCCGGGTCGGGGTGCCAGCATTGCGTCATGATACCATAGATGGGACCGGGACAGTTGGTGGGGGGTTCTAGTCTACCGCCGCTAGTAACCAGTTGCATTACTTGTCTATTCGCACAACCCGTATAAGGCATGTAACCCATTGACAGTATTTCCCAAAGTAAAACGCCGAACGACCACACGTCGGTTTTGGCCGTAAAGATCCCATCCAGGAACGCCTCTGGTGGCATTTTTTTGGGAAGCATCGCCCGCCCTTTTCCTGTAAATCCGACCCGTAGATATCGCGCGACATGCCGAAATCTGCTTTTGAGACCGGCCCCTGTTCGTTAGAGGCCTTTGCCGCTATATTGTGTATAAAATTTCCTTTCAGTAGCCTTTGGACGTCAATTGAATCATTCAATCCTTTTTTTCAGTGAACTGCTTTTGTCCTGAAAAGAAAAAAAAGTTCACTTTTCGCCCCCGGTCCCCCCCCCAACTCGAGCACTATAAAAATGTTTTGTTTTTTTCGTTGAGACGTACCGGCGACATGCCGAAATCCTGTATTTTGGTCGACACGGCCAGGGCCCGTTTGTCGTTAGAAGGCAGTTCCTTGCCGCTATGTCCCTGTGTTCCCAAGAAGAACTAAAAGCATAAAATTTTAAATATATATATAGCACAGTTGGCCTAATGCTATTAATGGCGGTAATATAGCAATTCTAATAGTTTAAGGCCTCGTGAGCCCCCCCCCCCCCCCCCCCGACCTTTCCGGGATTACGTTCTCTACCGTGTGAAAAGGATCTGACAATTTTTCTACAACTCTCGTTCCTGAAGACGTAACAGTTTAAGTAAAAACTGTTACGGGGGGGGGGGCTATGTAATACCCCCATTTTAGTGCGTAGTTTTGAACCCCCGTCGGTTTTAACATGGTTTTGAGAAATAGTCATCGACTTTAACGTTCCATACCCCCAGCCCCCTGGTGCTAGGTGCTAAATTCTCCGCAGAGAGTAGAAGATTTGATAACCTCACATAAGAGGGTACTGAGATTTATAGGGAAAACGTTATCAAGCCCTTTCTTTGGCGGATGGTTTTGACGCACCGATTCTTCCCCAACAATTATCATGAAAGTCTTGAAAACTTGCCAGTTTGGAGAAAAAAAGTGGTATAGGGAGGTCGGAGGGGGGTGGGGCTACGTTTTTTGCCGCGAGAAAAGAAGCTGATATTGCCTTCCCACCAACTATCATGTAAGGAATGGTTTGGGGAAAAAAATTTACCGGAAGTCTGGGGGGTATAGATCCCCCCCCCCCCAAACTGCACGTCATTTCCAGAACACCACCATATCAGGTCCTTCTTTTCTGGATGGTTTTGGAGCTCCGCCGACTTTAACACGATCTTGGCAAATGGCCATCGACTTTCACGTTGCGCGCGGGGGGGGGGGGTTATTGGACGGTTAGTATTCCAAACCCTCCGTACCCCCAGTTCCACGTTCTCTACTGTGAGAAAAGGATCCTTCCCCAACAACTAACGTGTAAGTCCTGAAGACTTAACAGTTTGCGGAAAAAAGTGTTGCCGTGGGTCTGCAGGGTATTAATAAGGGCTGGCAAAAGCAAAGTTCCTTACACACAAATCAATGAAGGACCGTCAAAGACCCTAAAACTCTTAAAAAAAAACTTTCTAGAAGATCTTTAGATTTTGTAGAAAGACCCGTAGAAGAAGATTCTTAAACGCTTTTAAAAACTACCCTTAAAGAGCATCAAGAGCTCACAAAAATTCCCAAAAGTCTTCAAAGACTTAAAGTTCCTCAAGGGGATTAAGGATCCTGAAAGTTTCTTAAAAACTCAGGAGACTCCAAGGGACTTCCGATGAAAAATATTAAAATTTCAAAAAAAATCCCGTACAAGGAAGGAATTTCATAGGTATTTTGCGTGTAATACCGTAATAGAGGGGGGAGACTTACGTATACAAGTTTTTCCATCACTGTCTAGCTTCCAGTCTTTAGGGCAGATACAAGCAACTTGCGACCTCCTCGCATCCAACGCCAAGCAGCGATAGTTACAGCCGCATCCTGGTATGGCAGGTATGACCAAAAGGGATCCTGGACCGGCGTGATATCCCGATCTCGCCTCGGACATGCTTGGGATTGTTCTGCTCGGATCCAGGAAGGAGTAGCCGCCCTCTCCGTTCGTTGAATTAGCTGACCACGCGTTTCCGCCGGCATATCCCCCACCTCCGCCCCCGGCCGTACAGCCTCCCCCGCCGCCACCGAAACCACCGTCGCCTCTTCCGTCAATAGAATCGTAGCACGCTCGACCACCGGTGCTTCCCTCCACCAGCGACAGTCCCATCAAGATTTCGTGACCGAACGCGATTTTGCCGCGATACACCTCCCAACCTCCACCCGCTCCGGCGGACCTACAACAGAAACTGACGACCTGCTAACTCCTCGGTGGTACTCACTTAGTTCCATACATTTGGCCGGTAACGGGAGGGCGAGACATGTTTATGGCCTGGCCATGCTGGTCGCCGTTGTCGATAAATCTACCCAGGCCCAATCCACCTCCACCCGCGGCAACCGCCAGCGGAACAGGATGACGTGTGCGGTTAAACTGTAACAACACAATTAACGCGGTTTTTGTACGCGACGCGTACTTACCACAAAAACAAAAGTACCACCACCGCCACCACCTCCGCCATCTCCAACCTCCATCCTCAATACACCCCTGACCCCCGTCAAGTCTTCGTCGTTCCTCAGCGACTTGCACGAGGAGTTGCTCTGATGTCCCAAACTCTTAACGCAAGCGCTCGCGCCCTCCTGCCCGACGAGCACGTATATTTCCTGCCCCTTGGCCAACTCCACCACCGTCCGCACCATGGCACCTCTTGACGAGCCCATCCCGCCGCTGCCTTTTCCGCCGCTCGCCCCCACCAGTATCAACCTACGAGTGTCGTCGTAAAAGTCGCAATTGTGGGGTTATACGTACGTGTAGAAGCCCTCGTGCGGAACCGTCCACCTTTGTATACCGTTGAGACCTGGCGCGTGCATCACCTTCACGCTGACCGACGTGTTTTTGTAGGCGGCCGTGCAGTTCGCCTGCAGGGGTCCGTCTCTTCCCCTCGCTCCGCAGGTTGTGATCTCATAATCTGCAATAACTTTAGTGAATTGCTGGTGCATTGGGGAGTCCAAACGGCATCCCAATCTCATCAATAGCAATTATTCGCTTATTCGATGAAAGAAAACTTCCAGGCTAAGAAAATACGTACACGTCTCATTTTCGAAATCGCTGTACGGCGCGCTACCGGTCGTCCTTTCATTCGCGGGATTCCAGTAATTGTACGCCTTCAGCTCGGTCTGCGGAATATTTAAGCCGAAGCATTCGGGGCTCATCGAAAAGTCGTCAATCGCCACGTCGCCCATGTAGCGTATTCCCCTTCTGGCGTCGAAATGAAGAAAATACCTGAAAATCTGTGTGAAAATGTGCGGCTTGGGAAAAATCGCGTGGCTACTTGTAAGTGATGTTCGGAAGAATGACGGTTTTCCGCACCCACATGTCGCCGTAATCGTTGTAGCTCCACAATATTTCCGACGAGACGTTCTCCTTCGGCCTTAGCTCGGTTACTTGGAGCATTAGACCACTCTTGTGGCTTCCGTACTGGTGCAAGAAGAAGCGTATCTGAAAGGCGAGGTGTAATGGAGGAAGGGTTACGTGGCCAAGTACCGTGCACGAGTTGTAGTAACGCGAGGAGGAGTTGCCATGAACCGTTGGTGGTGGATTGAACACAATACTGCGAAGCGTCGCGATGCTCGCAAAGACGACTTCCTTGCCCATCGCCGCCATGTTAACGTACATGTATTTGCCAGTTGCATTTTGGTACGTGTGGTCGTAGCTTGGACCCGTTCTATTCGTAGGTGTGGATCCGTTGTGTCTCGCCCACTGTAAGACTTTGCCCTCGACGTTTTGCCACCCACACCAGTCTTGCTCGAAGTTACATCTGGCACCGTACGGAACTTTTTCTAAAAACAGATGTTAAATCGCGGCCAAATGCGTTCGTCTACCTACCGCAGTTTTGCGTTTCGTCATCTCCAAGCTCGCAATCTTGGGTTATATCACATATTCGCGTATTGTTGATGCATACATTCGTCTGACTACAACGATATTGAAATGGCGTGCACCCACTAATCGAGTCGCTCTCCGCGAAGCAATCGATCAATTTAATATTGTCAAAAGCGACGAGCGCGCCCTTAGCAGATCGCTGAACCGGAACGATCTCAAGTATGATATGAAACTCTTGAGAAATCTTTCCAACCGCCTTGGTGTACTTACTCCACCTGAATGAGGCGATGGGTTAACCGTAATTAAGAATGACCTTACCTTCTGCTGCTATCCCCGTGTATTTGACTAACAAGCCACTGCGTGCGATTTTCGGTCTCCGCCACGATCCGTATTATCCCATTAACCATGCCGTCCTGATAAATCCACACCTGAAGCTTGCAGGTGTCCGCGCTCGGGCTAAATAATGGACTGGTTACGTGTAATTCACGTGTCGTTGGTTTCAGACGGAGAAGTAAAAATTGTCCTGAAAGATAAAAGAATTAGTTACCGGTCACTTCGCGCGTAGGTGGACGGTTCAGGGTAAAATCGTTATTGAGCAACAAGCAAAAATTCGCACGCCTCTACAGCTAATGAGCGAGCGCACGTTATAACCTTTGCACTTTATCTTAAACGAATATATGCGCTCCGTCGAAATATGGGGAACCACTTAAATTAGATGATGTATTGGGGTTAAAAAATTGTATCTCCTCGTCCCTTTATTTGTCAGGATTCATCAAGTTAGCGTCTTGCTTATCCCGCCCGCACAGAATGCGCACATTTCGAGAAACAAATTTTCCAGTGTCATAGAACGGCCATATGAATTGGTTGCATCAATATAAATGCTGCGTTGTAATCAATTCAAAAGAAGCCTGGGAAGATTTTTTATGGTTTTCATACAAGATTCATCACAACGACATAGAAATTCGAGGAAATTGTTGCACATGCTTATTTGTTACACTATGTATACTATTTCGAAGAAAGTGCTTTAATATCAAATTAAAGTTGCTTTTGGGTCTAATTCTCAAAAGTTTCATATGCCCCTAAAAGCTCTTGTTCTTGTGAAGATTGCCAAAATTCATAAAAAATCGTTTGAAGAATTAGCTTTTAAAGATTCTTAAGGGCTTTTAAACATTAAAAGCTTCGTGAAGGCGTTGGAGAACAGAACGCTATTGAAAACTGTTTGCTGAGTTTTTTTAATCACCCTCAAAGTCTACTAAAGATTTTTTAAATGCTTTATTCTAAAAATTAAATGTTCTCAAAGCGTTTTTTTCACTCTCCTTGAAAAGGTTGAAAGTTATTTAGTGCCCTTAACGGTTCTCAGGTGCTACACACTCTAGAAAACTGCAGGGTACATTAAAAGTTTGCTGTGGATAGTTAAAGGCACCATACCCCAGAGGATCCCGCCGCTACATGGTGGCAGGGGATTAAAGGTACGACGGAGACGTGGGTCTATGCTATTGCCGAACTAAAGGGAGCGTATGGCGCTAAGAAGACCAATGGCCAGCTGTACATTCGCAACCAAGCAAGACGATCGCTTTGTGTGATTCTCGGGAAGACGCAAATCAATGCCCGAAAAAATAAGAACGACATTTTTGCGGTGGTTTCCTATTGGCAGTCTTAGACCGAATGCCTTCAAAAACTTACCAGACTAACTCCTTCCCATTTTTTCATTAATTAATTGACGCCTTTTTCCATATGACGTCTAATAATAATTAATTCTACCACCAAACAGGCAATTATTGAGAATTCTATTGCTATAATGCAGTTACCTCAGAGCTGAGTAATGTATAGGTCAGAGATCTTAACAACAAAAACCCTACTAAGATAAGGTTACCTCCTATATCTCCGACTGGCTGGAGTCTAAGACAGTACTTCACAGAATTTAAATAAAAAGGATCGCTCATTCCACCAATTACTTTCGGACAATTCCACCAGTTGTAGAATTTATTGGAAAGTTTGGTCCTCTAATTTTTTCAGAAAGTTGATGCGCATTTCTTAGAAATTTAGATTCAGATCGTATAGAGTTTTGAAATCCTGTAAACTTTCTATGAAGTGTAATGCCTAAAATGTACGAACACAACTTTAACTATCTCTATAGGCTGAAAAAATAATTCCAAATTTAGAGCTGTTACAGACGCAGTATGTATGTATTCTGTTATATGCATGTATGTATCATGTATCATTTTCAGTACATGTTGTCTTGACACTTTTGCTGATTGTAGTCTCAATAGTAATCTGATCTTTCTAAAACCGTGGAGAATCTTTGAGAATCTTAGAGAATCTTTGAGAATCTTTGCGAATCTTTGAGAATATTTAAGAATCTGTAAGAATCTTTGTGAATCTTTAACAATCTTTGAAAATTTTGGATAATCTTTGTACTTTTTTTAAATCTTATGTAATTGTACCTGATGATGTGTGAAAATACTATTGTATAGATCACGAATAATAAAATGAAATGAATAAAAATCTTTGAGAATCTTTGATTGCCTTTTTGATTTGAATATCTTTGAGAACCTTGAGAATCTTTGAGAACCTTTGAGAATCTTTGAGAACCTTGAGAACCTTCCAGAATCTTTGAGAATCCATGAAAATCTTTAAGAGCCTAAGTAAGTCTCCAATTCGGTATCAAGATACGCCAAAAGCCTTCTATATGCTTTTGACGGCCTGAATACCTGTAGAGTATTTAATAGCCTTTGAAGTTCTTTAAGAGTCTTTAAGAGACCATTAACATTAAAGGGTCCTCAGCGCCATCTAGATCGTTTTAGTGGTCTGTAAGAGCAGAGTGGCAGATCCCTCCTCTAAGATTATTGGAAACTGCTCAGGTCTTCCAGTAACTTTTACGAGTTTTAAATAATACACAAGGATCCTCGAGTTTTCCAAAAACCTTCAAAATTTTCCACAGCCTCAAAGTGTCTCGCAACAGCCTTCTACAAGGTTTTATGGTTTTCAAAAACTTTCAATTCGGAACCAGAATCGGCTAACTATAAGAAGAAGCAACTATGTTCGTTCTGCAATTTCCGAAGCCACGATGTCATAGACTGTCGAAAGAAGAAACAGGTGTCAAAACTAAAAACGCTGCTAGCTACCAAGGCGAGTACAGTGTTGCGATGCTATAGCTGCGGCAAACCGTGAGTCCTACGTCGGGAGTGCAAAGATTGCAACAGCACTCGGAAGATTAGCGAACCCCAAGATGTCAGTTTCTGCCGTTTGAATGCTCTCACCCAGCCTTTGGTAAACTTTTATGCACCCCTATAGGCTTTCAGAACCGTTGTCATTTAAAGCTTGTAAAGGTCCTCAAAGGCTCATCCAGATTCGGATATGACTATCAAAAGCTTTAAGTACAATGGCTCTCAAGAACCTTAAGATCAACTTTTGATACCTTTTGCGTTTCTTTAGCCACTTGCAATAAGATTTAAAAAAATGGAAGCGCCGACAAGACTCTTAGGGCCACCTTTACGCATTTATAAGACTGCAAGACAATTTTCAAAAAACTCTAAAACAGCCTTTAAGAAACACGCATGATCTTGGAAAATCTTGCAAAATCTTAGTTATTATAAACATTTTTGAAGACTCTAGAAATCGCTTGACACTCTGACAGTCTTTTACACTAGTTTAAACCCCCTGACCCTTCCCTTAATATTGTTATCTAAACCACATCATCAATCATCAATAAATAACGTTGTGTCGCCTTGTATGTAAAGTAGTGTCACGTTTTAAGTGCAAATCTGTTTTTCGTTAGATTTTCTTTATATTACAAGTTAAAAATTGATCTACCTCCCGAAAAGCCACCAAAAAGTTCTCCAAACAGGCTTTATAAGCCTTCATTTCCTACATTAATACTTTCATGTGTCACAATACTCTTTTGTTATTTCCAATCAATTAATTGTGTGTTTATTCGAACCCAAAGTGCGACTCAGATAGAGTTTTCATGTCACATTTTTCTATTTGCGCCCAAGATATATTTCAGGCTTTAATCAAAATTTGTGTAATAAATTCTTTGGAATGCTGGCAACTGTTAATGATACTTAAGGGCCCTTGAAACCCTTTACAGTTTGTTATAGGCCGAGAAGCCTCTTCAAGATTCGGATTTGAATTGCTATTGAAGCTTGCTGTTTACGGCCGTAAAAACCGTTTATGGCACTCAAAAGTTCTTAAAGTTCTATTAGATGCTCCAAAGATCACTAAGGAAGTTTAGTCGATTTTTGGTAAAAAAGGAAGGTTATACACTGCCTTTTTTTGAAGCCCGAAGAAAAAATTTTCTCAGATCTACCCGGAAAAAAATTTTCTTATAGAATGTGGCCTGTAGAATCCATAATTTCAAACAGTTCCAAGATTGGGCAACTAGAGCAAAAGTTACAGCCTTTTGAATTTTTTTTCGAAATTTGTTTTTTGTCCATAACTTTTTATTGAGAGGTCTAGTCGAAAAAGTACGAATTGTTTTGGATTCTACGCACTAAAATTAATAAGAAAAAGTGTTTTCCCGAGAAATTTTGGTGTAGTCGATTTTTGGTAAAAAAGGAAGGTTATACACTGCCTTTTTTTGAGGCCCGGAAAGGAAATTATCTCAGATCGACCCGGAACAAAAATTTTCTAATAGAATGTGGCCTATAGAATCCATAATTTCAAACAGTTCCAAGAGTGGGCTACTAGTACAAAAGTTACAGCCTTTTGAATTTTTTTCGAAATTTGTTTTTTGTTCATAACTTTTCATTGAGAGGTCTAGTCGAAAAAGTACGAATTGTTTTGGATTCTACGCACCGAAATTAATTAGAAAAAGTGTTTTCCCGAGAAATTTTGGTGTAGTCGATTTTTGGTAAAAAAGGAAGGTTATACACTGCCTTTTTTTGAGGCCCGAAAAAGAAATTGTCTCAGATCGACCCGGAACAAAAATTTTCTTATAGAATGTGGCCTGTAGAATCCATAATGTCAAACAGTTCCAACATTGGGCTACTAGTTCAAAAGTTACAGCCTTTTGAATTTTTTTCGAAATTAGTTTTTTGTCCATAACTTTTTATTGAGAGGTCTAGTCGAGAAAGTACGAATTGTTTTGGATTCTACGCACCAAAATTAATTAGAAAAAGTGTTTTCCCGAGAAATTTTGGTGTAGTCGATTTTTGGTAAAAAAGGAAGGTTATACACTGCCTTTCTTTGAGGCCCGAAAAAAAAATTGTCTCAGATCGACCGGAACAAAAATTTTCTTATAGAATGTGGCCTGTAGAATCCATAATGTCAAACAGTTCCATCATTGGGCTACTAGTTCAAAAGTTACAGCCTTTTGAATTTTTTTCGAAATTAGTTTTTTGTCCATAACTTTTTATTGAGAGGTCTAGTCGAGAAAGTACGAATTGTTTTGGATTCTACGCACCAAAATTAATTAGAAAAAGTGTTTTCCCGAGAAATTTTGGTGTAGTCGATTTTTGGTAAAAAAAGGAAGGTTATACACTGCCTTTCTTTGAGGCCCGAAAAAAAAATTGTCTCAGATCG